CATAGGAATGATATCTCATCACTGGTTTTGTCTACACTCAGGAAGAAGAGATTATATAATAGCAAAGATCCCTGGGGGTGATCTTAGGATTCTGTCTACCACAATTTTATAAAGACACAGTAATTAAAAGAGTATAACAGACTTCTGCTTCTGTCTGCTAGAATAAATGATATCAGACTAATCCTGCCTCCATAAACAATCATAAAATTGCTTTCAGACAGTGGACAACAGGCAGCACAAGACTTTGATTTGTTGAGAAACAGAACACTTAAGGGGGAAGTCCCATGATTTCCTAGTTCTTTGCTGGGGAGAATTTCTCATCAGCTGCACAGAGGGCTAAAGTCCACTTAGAGCTGGGCAGCCCCACGGAGCTGAGAAGGCAGAGATCAGAGTTCAGGGCCGCTGAAGCAACTGCAATCTGCAGGGTAGGGCACCAATGAGAAGACAGCTGTGCAGAGGAGCAGCTCACAAAGTTCATGTGGGGTTCCATTTGCATACTTATCAAGGACTGGAATCTACCTGCACAAGACAAAGACTGACAGATTTAACAGAGGGGTAGCTGCTATAAAATTGTTTGAACCAGAGGTACTTGAAGTAGAGGAGCGTTGGGGAATGGATGATGGAGTTCCTTCCATCCAGGGTGGGAAGACCTCATGCACACTTCATTAGCACCCAGGTATCCAACTGAGACACTAGAATGGCTGTGCTTCAGGAATAAGTATCACACTTCACAATAAGACCTATTCTAGGCCAGCTCTAGTAAAGCCTAAAACCAAACCCTGACAAAATCCACAAAGAAGTGGATTGGGGATTGATCCTGCCAAATTAGAGGATCTTGGGAAATACTGTGGGCTTTCCATGAATCCATTGTAATAAACCATAAACCAAGTCTACCCAAAGTGATCTGACAGTAATTTTACTGCCTAGTAGAACAAAATCAATTTACATAGTCAGTGACAGAAGTTAGCCAAGTTGACGTTTACACAAACTACATCTAAGAACCATTAACAAATTACTCTTCTCAAACACGCATAAAACATTCACCAAAATAGACCACATATGCTGAGCCATGCTTAGTATTCTTTGTCTTTTCTCTTTGACAAGTGTATAATGTGCTCAAACTCATAAAATTATATACTTTAATCATGTGTGGTTCTTTGTGTATGTTATATTTCAGTGTATTTGTTAAACAATTTATAATTTTAAAAACTATAATAGCTTGATTCAAAAAATATTTTTTATATTTAAAAAATCCAAAATAGTTCTCTGTATTATCAGGGCAAAAGAGAAAAACCATATGATTACCTTGACATACACAGTAAAAGCATCTGGCAAAATTGAAAACTTTTTTCATGATTAATTAAAAAAAATAACCCACAAAACTCTCAGCAGGATAAGAAGAGAAGGCAACAGTTCCAACCCATTAAGGGCAGATTTTAAAAACCTGCAGGTAACATTATATTGAATGACATAAGATTGAATACTTTTCTGTTAAATCAGAGAAAAAAGTTGTTACTCTTTCAATTTATCATTATATTAAAGACCTAAACCAATGCAATAAAGCAAGAAAAATAAATAAAGCCTTGAAAAGATTCAAAAGAAAGAATTGAAGCTCTCTTTATTGCAGATAATGACTGTGTATGTTAACATCCTAGAAGTCTACAAAAATCTGCCAAAACTAATAAGTGAGTTTAGTAATATTGCAGAATATAAGCTCAATATAAATAGTCTTTTGTATTTTGAATATTAGCAATGAGTATTTGGAAAATGAAGTAAGTGTCATTTAAAGTAATTTCTAAGTACATGATGTGCTTAGAAATAAATTCGACAAAATTTATGTAAGGCCAGTGCACCAAAAACTACAGAAAAATTGCTCTGAGAAATGATAAAAGGACTAAATTAGTCAGGGAGATAAACCTTGTCATGGATCAGAAGAGTTGTTATAGTTAAAAAGTCAGTTCTTCCCAAATTGGTGTCCAGATTCAATGCAATTCTAATAAAAATTCCAACTGGCATTTTGGTAGAAATTTACAAGCTGACTCTGCCATTTATATGGAAATGTCAATGATCAAGAATAATAAAAGAGCAATATTGTAAAAGAACAATGGTGAATGAATTCACTACCTATTTCCAGAAGTACTGCACAGCTATGAAAATCTGCATCATGCTTTTTGTTGAAAACAATAAAAGAACATATATCAGTGAAAGAGAAGACAGAATCCAAAAATAGATCCTCACATATATGTCTAATTAATTAGGATATATGTGTGTGTGTGTGTGTATATATATATATATTTTAACTTTTTGAAGGTTTGTATCATTATCTCCAATAGGGAACACAAAAAGAAACCACAATATAGGAGATATTATACTTATTGCCAACAAAGGATTTTTTTTAAGAGTATACATATAATGCAGTCTGGTATGACAAACAGCACAATGAAACCATTTCTCAAAAGACTTGAATAGATACTTCAGAAAAGAAAATACATGAATGGTCAATTAGCAAATAAAAAGATGTTCCACTAGTCATCAGGGAGAGATCATTCAATACAACAATGAGATACCAGTACATACCCATGAGAATAAAAAGGCTGAAAATACCACAGGTTGGTGAGCATATAAAGCAAATGGGTGTCTTATACTTGTGGGAATGAAAAATGATGTGACTCTTTGAAAATCTAATAGTTTCTTAAAGGTTAAACATACATAGATCAGATGGATAGCCATTCCATTTATAGGATTTTACACACTATGTCTGCACAATGATCTGCATGTACGTTTCTGGATCAAACTAAAGGGCGGGCCACTATTTCTTGTGGCCCAGTATTGAGATGCAGGTGAACTGGGGAGAAAGAGAGTTTTTATTTCTGCAGCTGGTTACAGGGAGAAGTCCTGGAAATTATCACCAGACCAACTCAAAATTACAAAGTGTTTTAGAGCTTATGTGCCTTCTAGGCTGTATGTGTATGCGTAAGTGTGCATCCATGTAGACATATAAGTGACTAACTTCTTTTAATCTATAACTAAAGTCTGAGTCCTGAAGACCTTCCTCTGGAGTCTCAGTAAATTTACTTAATCTAAATGGGTCCAGGTGCTGTTGTGATTATCCTTATCTTGTCTCCAGTTAAATATGGAGATTTGGGGAGTTCCTTCAGACCTCCAATAATCTTGTTAGTGGAAGCCTGGGGAGTTTCTCCACACCCCCAATATAATTTGTTTAATCCTAAATGACTCCTGTTAAGAATTCCTTTGTTATTTTGTCATGCTTTAAGGCCAGGAAAAGCCTAGGCAAAACTTTTGGTGGGCATTTCTTACATTCCAGCCTTTGTATAAAGCCACTGTCTTTTTTCTTTTTTCTTTTAATATTTAGCTTACTCACTCAGTTGGTACTCAAACGGTTGTTATGGAAGCCTCTGCTAGTGAGACCTGGCCTGCTACGTGTGGTTGCTCATGATAGTTTCTTCATAATAGCCCAAACCTGGAATGATAGAAATGTCCCATAACAAGAGAATATATGAACAAACATGGTATAGCCACACAAAGGAATACTACTCAGCAATTACAAGGCATTAACTGTTAAAGCAAATACTCATATGGATGGATTTTTAAATTAAGTTGATGCATGAAAGAAGGCGGAAACAAAATGACATAGGTATAATTTCATTCACAGAAAATGGTTACAAATACCTAAAGTGACAGTGGCTCACTGGAGCTGAGGGTTGAAAGCCTGATGGACTGCAAAGGGGTACAAGAGACTTTGGGGCTTATGGAACATCCTCTATCTTGATTGTGGCAGTAGTTCCATTAGTGTATACATTTGTAAACATGGCTTGAGTTACATATTTTAAAGTGGTGCAGTCTCTTGTACCTAAATTACACCTTTATAAAGCTGATTTTATAATCTTAATTTCTGCATACTAACAATTTGCAGCTAGAAAATGAAATTCAAGAAAACATAAAAGGGATTAATATCCAGAATCACTACATGCTTAAGAATACATAGAATGAAGCAGGTACAAGTCTTCTAAAAGCAATTGGTGAGAGAAATTCAAGAAGACTAAATGGAGAAATACATATGTTCATTGACTGGAAGACTCAATTTAGTTAGCATATTACAATACAATTCTGATTAATATTTCTGTAGGAGATTTTAGAGAAATTTAAAAGCTAATTTCAAAATGTATTTGAAAATCAAAGAACCTAGAATAGGCAAGTTGGTCTTGAAGAAGCAATAGGTCGGAGGACTTACTCTGCTAGATTTCAAACCTGATTTTAAAGCTACGGTAATTTCAAAACAATAGGACTGGTGTGAGTATTCATAAATATATCAAAGTCAAAGAATACAGATTCAAATGATATGCCCACATATGTACAGTTACTTACCTTTATTTAGCAGAATCTTTTTTACTCCAGAAAAAATACCCAAATATGCAAAACAAAAAGTTTTCCAACCACACACAAGAGGGGTATGGATAGGGGGAGGTGTCTGTCCATCTAGCCCTGTCCCCCAGCCCATGTGGTTTTGGCAGTAACAAGGGGTGTGGGGTAATAGTGCCAAAATAAAAATGGTGTATGTGTGTATGGGAAGGAAAGGGGTGCAAAGCTATGGGGAGCAGTGGAGGGGAAGCGACAGAAGAGGCCAGCACTGGGAACGCTGAAGGTGGGAGGCCATTTCATGATATTTCTCATTGGTGAAATTGCCAAGGACACCTTCTTTGTCCACCAGTAGGCCTAGCATCTTGGCAGTCATGGCAGCAGTGATACTGGAAGTGGAGGCTCCACCAATGCTCTTGGTAAGAAGGTCCTGGGGCAAGTCCTACAGCAGTGAGTTTGGACCACAGAACATTTCTGCCCCCACAGTGTCGGCCCATTCACAAAAAACCTTGACCAGTCGGAGTCTTGCTCTGTCACCCAGGCTGTAGTTCAGTGGCTCTGCAGTGTGGGTTGCTTTTGTATCTGGAATGTGTCTGACATCCTGAGATCTGGACCCATTTCAGGGAGCTTTGAGAGGAGCCCGAATCATTGATGGAATTGGACGGTGTGTGGAGATGCTTCAGCAGGAGGAAGGTAAGTGGAGAAGCAAGACCAAGTCACAGTGAGTGACAATGAGCATCATCAACCACCCCAACCATGACCTTGATCTTGCCAGGTTCTGCTGGGGGAAGGCAACAACATATCGATGGTGTTATAGCAAGTGTGTGTGTGTGTGTGTGTGTGTGTGTGTGTGTGTGTATCTCCAACAATATTCCATAAGAGCTGTTCATGGCCCTCTTCCTTTTTCTTTCAATACATGGCAAAACTAAATGAAAACAACAAAATAGCATCAAGTTTACAAGACTTCCCAAAATATATGGTCACACATGTTTTCGGGGGATATACACAAATGGTTTTGATCACTTGATACCTTGAAAAGAGCTCTTGTGAGACAGAATGATATTGGTAAATGACGAGTATGAAAAAGTGTTCAGTGACATCAAAGAAACAAATCAACCCACAGATAAAGAGCTTTGCACTTAGGGATGTGAACTGGTGGTAAGAGTAATGAAAAGCCAAGATGCTGCCTCAGTAAGAGAAAAAAAATCAACATAATAATGGGATGCAGCAAGGAGAATGCTGAGCAGGGGAGAAAATATTTTTAAAAATAAATTATTCATTAACTTTTCAGTAGGTACAGAAAAAAAAAGCAGAACCCAGAAGATATCATGGCAGTCTAAAAGTTTGACATCTTTCATGTGTGGAAAAGCCGTAAGATCTGTTTTAACTTAGAGGAGGTGGGGTGACTTTCTGAAGACCACTAAGAAAATATAACCTTTTGGAAAACTGTCTCTACCTTGATGATTTTATACACACAAGATATGGACGATAAGGAATGTGCTTAGACATATTAAGAAAGAGATGAGTCTACAGCCCTGTCACAAGGGTGTGCAAATACTGAGTGGGACTGCTGAGGAAGTGGTCCTCATCAGTGACTCTCAGGTGAGAGCAGGGGGCCTTGGGTTTCAGCACAGCCTGGACAGTTGGAATGCTGGGCTCTTAAGATTCCATGACACCCCCACCTTCTAATTCTGTTATTGCAACTGCAGACGGTTACCCAGCACTCTGGCTGCTAACCTCCCTCACTCTTGTAGAGTCTGAGCTACAGGCAGTTCCTTTGGCTCTGAGCTCAGGCATCCTAAACGCTGCTTTTGCTGTTAAGGACTCTAAAGTGCCCTGGGGCATTGATCAAGTTCTTCTTAACCGTAAGTCAACCATTCCAGCTGTTGTCTCCCTCAGTGCTGACTAAACCTATTTGACTTCACTAGTTTTTGACCCATGATGTGTTTTGGTTTCTTCTCCCTAGTCCCTATTGTACCTCTTCTTCCACCAACATCAGCATGGCAGAATCTGCTGAACATTTATCCAGGGAGAGGGCAGAGATGAACATCTCAGAAATTACCCAGGAATTGCGCTCCCAGCTGGCAGAGAGCCAACAGCAGTTCCAAGACCTCAAAGAGAAATTTCCTGGTCCACCTACTGACTACTGTCTGGCCAAGCAACTGAAGAAATCCAGTAAGTGCTATAGATTCATCATCACAAAAGTGATGAATAAATGCCCGCTTCTCTCTGAGATACTGAATGGTCCCCTCATCTAAATTAATTTAATTCTTTCCTTAGTTCTAGGAAAATAGAAATGGGTATTTTAACTTATTGTGTTAAAGATGGAAAATGGAGGCACAATGTGTTTAGCAACTTTTCCACGTTAGCAGTCCAGTGTGAGGTGGGACTGGAGTTAAAATCCTTACTGGCTCTCACACAGGCACAAAAGCACTTGCTTTCCTCAGCTAGAGGGTGTATCAAGTTTACAAGAATCCTCTCTGTACCCTGTATGATCTTGCAGACAAATAACTTGTAGTCTGTTGGTAAATGTCTGGGACCAAAGAACTGCCATTCAGTTTAAGCTTCTTTGACTCCCAATAGGCAAATCTCTGTTCTGGGGACCCTGGGGGAAACATGGTGCAGTACAGAGTACCTGCTCTTAGGAGAGACTGCTCCTAATGGTAAGTGTGGCGTCTATACGTGAGGGCATCAAAAGCAGCGAGTACCCTGGTGAGAGGAAAGTCCCACTTCCTGGGGCACAGGCTCTTCTTATTCTAAAGTGGAAGAAAGATAACACATTAGACATTATGAAGGTCACAGTGTAGCATGTGGAGTAGGGAGCCTGGGCTGAACTCCTGGGCTCCATCCAAGTTGCCTAGCTTCTCTGTGCCTCAGTTTCTGTTTTTGTTTGTTTTTTTATCTCTGTGCCTAGAAAAGAGGCATAAAGTGAGACAAGAAAATTAGGTAGTGATGATTAAAGACATTCCCAGAGCTTGATTCTAAATAGCAAGTGCAGAGAATCAGAAAGGGAGAGCTGTGTTTGCCCAGTCTCCATCAGCCAGATTTGTTGTTTCAGGATGTTTTCGTTTGCCCAATATGAGCTGTCTTAAAATGTGAGAGTGCCCTAAGTGGCTGATGGTTAACATTAATAAAGTGTGCTCGGGCCGGGCGCGGTGGCTCACGCCTGTAATCCCAGCACTTTGGGAGGCCGAGGCGGGTGGATCACGAGGTCAAGAGATCGAGACCATCCTGGTCAACATGGTGAAACCCCGTCTCTACTAAAAATACAAAAAATAGCTGGGTATGGTGGCGCGTACCTGTAATTCCAGCTACTCAGGAGGCTGAGACAGGAGAATTTCCTGAACCCAGGAGGCAGAGATTGCGGTGAGCCAAGATGGCGCCATTGCACTCCAGCCTGGGTAAACAAGAGCGAAACTCCATCTCAAAAAAAAAATAATGAAATGTGCTCTCAGGAAGATGAAAGAGAACACACACAAGGAATGCATTGAGCAACTAGGGAGGCCAAACCCGGTTGAGAGAGGGGCTCCTGGACAAAGACCATGGAGCTGGATGGCACCTGGTGAAGGGCAGGGCCATGGAGGGGCCAGCATGACTCCAGGGAGAGTCTGTTCGAGCACGTGGTGGGAGGCGATGCTGGGTAGGATCATGGGGCAGAAGGGAGAAGGAGCACAGAGGCAGGATGAGGGGGACAGTCACACAGGGGGCAGTGGGGAGGAAGTTTTCAGAAGTGGAGTGGGAACATGGTAAGACCAGGGCTTTGGGGAGATAAAACTGCTAAGACAATTGCTAGAGTGGAGATGGCAGGGTCAGAGAAAGCAGAGAGGGAGGGTGTGTGAAACCAGGCATTACTGATGAGACTGATATGCTGTGCTTTCAGGAAGACAAGAGAATAGATGCAAGGAACAGTTTTAAGAGAACTTAGGAAACCTTAGAGAACGAGGATGTGGAGAAGGGAGGAGAGAGAGGAGCCCCAGCAGCGTGGATCCGGTCCTGCACCCCATCCCTGTCCTGAGCCCGACTTGAACAGGCATGAGGTCATTGGAAGTCTTTCCTTAGTCCACTTTGAGAATGTGCATTCCTCTCCCTGTGGAAATAGAAATTGTTTAGGATGTGTGCTGGAACCCCACTGGAGAGTGGGCAGTGTGAGGACTGTGCCCTGTGTTACCTTCCTACAGAACCACACATGCAGATGTATAGCTCTTGTGGTCTCTGCATTTCTGCGAAGGGACTGGTTTCTCCACTACATTGCCTATGGCTGCTGACACCCATTATTATATGGCAATAGGATGGAGATGTGTGGGTGGGGGTTAAACCATTACAGGCAATGAGAAATTCAAAATGTCCCAGAACCCTGAAAAGTTTGCCTCACTTAGTGTTTGGTCTTTCTCATCGTTCTTTCTCAAAGCCTCATGGCACTAACTCTTGCCCTGTTCTTACACACCTGTGTTGTGGAGAACAGTTCTTCCTCTCCAGTGCTCTGAGGGCTCTCGAGAACTTTCCCTCTAGGCACAGGAAAGAGATTGATAATGACAGACTAATTGTCATGACCTTGTTAGCCAATCCAAAGTTCTCTGGGCTGAAGAAGGGGTTTTTCACTTCAGGGACCCCCCAGCCTGGCATGTGCCATATCAGTGCCCCCAGGCACAGACAGGAAAGGTGACATGATGCATTTACATGGTGTCTGTCTGTGTGGCCTGGGTCACAGGGTGGCTTTACCGAGAGGCAGGGACAGCAGGGATGGGTGTTCTGGGTGTGCTTAACAAAGGGAAAACTGAGATTGTTCCTACGGAAGCCCCTTTTCCTTTCAGCTTCAACCCAGGCCGCCTGTCCCCAAGGGACTTGGAGTGGAGACTTGAGCCACCGCCTGTCAGAGGTGCAGGCTTCACAGACAGCAGGAGCCAACCACCCTGGTGCTGAGTTATCAGCGACTACAGCTTTTATCAAGAGTTCCGCTGTGGGAATCGCTTAGCCAGGAGGGTCCTTTCCTTCACCACCTACAGCGTCACTGTCAATTCTGATTCTGGGAACCAATGGTCCTTTCAAGGTAGGGAAGGAAAGGAGATAGAAAGGTCTAGTCCAGGTGTTGGTGGTCACGGTGCTATGGGTGGAGGAGAGAATGGAGCCTCTCTGTGCTCCCTCAGGGTCAAGTTAAATCCACGATACTCCAACCCAGTGAGGTGAGCAAGAGCCTGGGACTTAGGACAAAATCTGCTCTCAGGTCCTGGGTTTGCCTCTTCCTGGTTGTTCACTCTGGCCAAGGATTTTGTCTTTTTGCTATGCAAATCTCTGTTTTCTCATCTGAGCTACCTAAAAAGTAATATCTACCGGTAATCATTGCTGAGAGTATTAATTATTATAATTTCCAAAGGGCCTGATTCAAAAACAATTCCTCAATAGACCTATAAATACATGTTATCTAATCTATTTGTCTTTCTGCCACGTTTACATTTAGAAAGTGACTTCACAGACTATGTCTTCTCTGAGATAGAGCAGTTGTGAAGCTCTCTGTTCTCTAGAGTCCTGTATTCCTTTCCTTTCTCACACATACTCCTCTGTCAGTTTTCTTCCTCTCCTTCCCCATCCCCCATGAAGCCAATTCTCCACTGTCAGGCACTTTCAGTGACAACCTACGAGGCACATTCAGGAACAGCGTAAATCCTGGACCAACACGCCAGTCTCGACACATCCAGCTCCTCTTTCTCCTTTTTCTTCTCTTTTTGAAACAAAGGGCAATTTTCACATGGAAAGTGTTCACATCTGTCTCTTTTATGAAAATCCATTTAGTTCATCATCTCCACTCACGTCCTCAGCCATGCCCTGTTTCCTTCTCACAGGGATCCACTTCCACTCAGATTTCCTTAAAGCCCTGGATCCTGTTCATTCTCACTGTTCGTCCCAGTGAATATCTCCTCCTGGAGCCCTCGGATGAGGAATATGGGGAGCCCTGTCCTCAGGAGGAGGGAGGGTCACATGAGATATTGAGCACCATTTGGGTCCATGGAGAGGACACCTGGAAGGCTCTCAGTGGGTGTCGGGGATGTGCAGTCCCTTACATATGCCATGTAACTTATTTAAACTGATTTTTTCCCACCAGATTCTTGTTTGCTTTAATATGAATACTTAAAACCCCAGCGAAGACCCAACCCACTGGCTTAGATGCATGCTATCTTGCCCACGTTCCCTGGAGCCCAGAGCCAGAACCAGACTCCCAGTAAGAGCACAGACTGAATGCCTTGTGCCTCATTCATAGTTTCCTTGGCCATTTCTCCCTGTTGTCTAACAGGTCATTTGTTTCTTTGCACACCTTTTCTTTCTCATTCTTCTCATGTTTCTATTTTTTTTTTTCAATTTTAATGGAACAGAATATTGATTATATTGTTACATTAAATATCTCCCAAATCCCTATATATTATTTTTTTATTAGATTAATATCTACAGATATATGCATTTATGTCATTTGTTATGTATATTATGTATATTTGGTGTGTATGCTACATAGTGTTTATATATATGCAATAGATCATATAATGATACAAGTATTGTAAATTCTCCAGGTTTAGTCTTCCACAGTTCTTTTCTTATCAGCTGCTGTAACCTCTGTCTGGTCTCACCTTTGTGTCCCCTGGGCTGCCACATGCCAGGCCCTTCCACCCCCATGTCCTGTTTGGACTCAGCTCTGATTTAACTTTCACTTTTATAATTTCTTCCTTCCCCAAAGCACAGCCTACATACAGTGTCATTCCCTTGCTTTTGCCTTATCTACCCTTAAGCTATTTGTGTCACTTAATCTTTTGTTTCTGGAATATTTTAGTGAATCCGCAGTGCCTTTGCCACCTGGCAAACTTGTCATTACTGAGTAATGTAAGAAAGATCAACAAAAAAGAAAATATTAAAGTCACTCCATTGGCTTCCCCTCCCACTTTGGACTTTCTTGTCCAAGGCCACATTCCTGATTTCATGTCCTTTGAGTGGAAGAGAAAGTCACAGTAAGATCCTGGATGCCAGTGGATGCCATTGGCTGTATTTTATTTTCAGACCTCGTTTTAGCCCCCTCTGTTGGGATGAAGAACCCTCCGCAGCTGGAAGATGATGCACTCAAAGGCTCAGCAGGCAACACACAGGGGCGTCAAGTCACTGGCAACATTCATGCCTCCAGTGTTATGAAACCAAAGAAGATGAAAAGAAAACTCCGATTTGGCAAGTGGATCCATTGGGCTTCATGCTCAGGGTCCAGAGGTAATCACATCTATGGCTCTTAGCTGCACTCACTTTTTATTTCTCTCTGTCTCTGGTGACAGCTCATTCTCCCACTGCTTTTTCTCTTCCATTTATTCTCTCCAGCGGCTGCTTTAACCTCTGTCTGGTCTTACCCCAGTGTCCCATGGGCTCCCACCCTGCCAGGCCCTTTCTATCCATATCTCTTCATTGCTCTCTGAACTCTGCTCTATTCCTTCTTCTGCTGTCTTGACATTCCCTCTCGTGGCCACAGGAGCCGGGCCTCCTTGTCCTCTTCCAAGTACACAGTGTAAGCTGCGGAACACAGGGTTCTTTGCCTGGAACCTGGAATTGCACACTCTCTTAAGAAATTTACCTTTCCTCCCTGTATCCCCAACTCTGTTGTTTCTTTTTGCAGGGAGCATTGCTTCAATACATCATTTACACATAGGTTTTTCTCTTGAGTTGGCTTTGGAGGAACCCAGCTAAGTCAACCCTTACTGTCTCTTGTTCCTCTGAATGAGAAGCGTTAAAGCTGAGCACAGAGAGCCCCACTTACAAAACTAAACTAGAACCTTGGTCACAAGTGGGAGTTTCCTACCAGACTGGAGTCAGGTTTGTCTTCAGCCTCAGATGTGCAGCCTTGTGACATTGTAGATGGCATTTCCAGGGACTCAGTATTCCCACCTCATGGACTCATTTGTGCTGACATTAACTGAATGACATTTATGACATTCAAAAGTACATCCAGAGTACAGGACTTCAAATCTGCATACATCATGAGATATATCATTCTAACCTCTCTCCATTTTATTCTCATTTCCATTTCTACATGTCCAGTTAAGGGCCTAAAATGCAACTCAGATGAATCTTGAGGCCAGGGTATGAGAGCATTTTCTGAATTAACTTTGAGAAAATTGACTTTACGACCTGCTTTATACATACACAAGATGATAGACAAGCATCTGTCTACAGAACAATCTTTGCTTTGGCCCAGTCCAGTTGATAAAAGAAAGATTTTAATGAAGTTTTCAGAGAGAAGACTAAAATTCATGGAACCACAGGGAGAAAAGCCAATCATGAGATAATCGGGGAAAGGAAAGAAAATGATGGGAAATTGGGTTGTTTCATTTTGTATCTCTAAATCTCACTGCCATTAACTAAATCTGGTGAGATTTCAGTTAAGATGCATGCCTTGAACTCACACCTTATGATTCTCACTTACATGATCTGGGGTGTGGTTTGGGTGTCTGTAGTTTTACAATACTCTCGTGATTCTAATATGTGGCTGAAGATGAGGAAGACAACTGGTCTTCTACGACCTCAGGTTGCCAACATGGAAGTGTTCCATATGTGTGGCTACTCCAAAGAAAAGGCTAAGCATCCATCAGCATTGATGGGATCTGTATTCCCCTCTCAGTAGTACTTTTCATAGAGTATAGAAAAAAATCAGAAAGAAAACTAAGACAATTAATAGATTAGACCTTTAGCCTCTACTTGAAGTATACTTGCTCAATTTTGAATACAAGACAGTGGGAAACAGTTATTACATTGACACCTAATTATAGAAATAATACCTCTCATATTACATATAGTGGAATTTAGTATTTTCTTTGGCAGTTTAAAGTAAATCTTGCAGGTGACGTTTAACCACACAGATTTTATAGCCTCCGAATTGGCTCAGCACTGCAATGTGAACATTTTACTTTTGGTCAATTATTGTTCTTCCTCAAAGCCCCCAAAGAGAACTTATTAGTCTCATTCTCCTGAAGAGAAGGAATAGCGTATCAAGACTGAAATTTTGCAAAAGATTGCGTATGAATACTTTTTTATGCCACTCTTAAAGCTGACATTAAATGTTAAAAAGGAACCTTTCAGCCTGGTGCGGTGGCTCACGGCTGTAATCCCAGCACTTTGGGAGGCGGAGGTGGGCAGGTCACTAGTTCAATAGATCAAGATCATCCTGGCAAACATGGTGAAACCCCATCCATACTAAAAATACAAAAATTAGCCGGGCCTGGTGGCACACACCTCTGGTCCCAGCTGCTCGGGAGGCTGAGGCAGAATTGCTTGAACCCAGGAGGTGGAGGTTGCAGTGAGCCAAGATTGTGCCACTGCACTCCAGCATGGTGACAGAGCAAGAGTCCGTCAAAAAAAAAGAAGAAAGAAAGAAATCTTTCCCAAAATGTACTTGGGGAAAACAAAAAGTGGGAGGACAGAATGTAGTAAAACAAAAACTATTCCTTTTCACCTTGTACTTCAGAGTTTTGTTGGTCTAGGTAGTGAAAATATTCCTAGAAATGCCTTAACGTGTAACCAGGTGTGGAATCAACTTCTGGGCATCAGGGAAAATAAGTAAATCCATAGTTACACTCCCCACTCTCTGCTAATTTCATTTTGAGTGTCTTTTTATTTTTAATTTTCTTTTTTTCCTGATCCCCTTTGAAAGAATACTTATAATTATGTCTGTTTTTTCTTCTTTTTAAATTTTTTCACCAACCGAATAAACACCACAGACATCATATTTTTTTGTAAAACCTTATTCCTGTCCTAGCCAAGGTAACCCAACAGCCTCTCATGACTGCCGAGACCTCCAGGTTGGACCCTTGCCTCTCACTTCCTCCAATCTCTATTGAAAGGGACTTAGTGCCTGGTTTTAGTTCCGGGTTGTCAACAGCAAGTCATGTGGCCTTAATTCAATCTTACCCCTGTGACATCACTACTCTGTTTTAAAAGGCAGAAGAGGACGTGGATGTTGTCTGAGGCTCCTGCTGCTTTTTATATCTAGAGATTTGCCCGTGTTCCTCCCACTCCTCCCCAGAAGACTGGGACATGGAGTTGTAAGGGGGTGGGTTTCTCTGCAGAGGGCCCTGCTTCTGCAGTCCTCTGTGTCTGAGCATGCATGATTGATGCTGAGCACATCCTCACTGGGAGGAAAAGCCATCACTCTGCTCTAGACAGAGGGGATCAGGAGGAAAGCAGCTGATGTTCCCAGCTGCTGGTTGGGCATAAGTGGGGTTGCTATATCCTACACCCCAGGCAGACAGGAAGTTCATGGAAATTCGGGGGCATTTTCTTCTCACTTGTGGATGGTGCTTCCCCCTTCAGCCAGTCCAATGCTCACCCTCAGCTCAAGCTCCCAGCAGGAGATTGGTTTGCCCATGGGATATCAGCTCTTAGCAGTCCCTCCAGACTCAGCCTTCAGGAGGATCTGACAAAAATGCTCACTTGATTATTTTCTCTCTCCCCTACAGGCACCAAACACTGTCAGAAGGATGCAAAGAACGAAAGGATGTGAGAAAAAAAAGGGGGTAGCAAGCTTTTCCACTTGATGAAAAAACACTAAAATGGCAAAGCAAGTTCAAGTCCAAACACAAGTCACTGCAGGGATCCTTCACTGAGGATTCAATTTCAGACTACAGAATGCTCTTGTTGATTTCAGCCCACTAGGCTCCTTTGATTCATCCCCCTCCAATTGTAATCAGTACCAAGAGAGTCCAATTCCCAGATGGACAAACAGCATTGACGAGCCTTAGCCCTGCTCCTGTCAGTTTCTATTCTATAGAGAACAGGAGTCCAGAGCTGCTGGCAGGGGACAGCATGTCACCTGGGATTCTGTCAGGGGACAGCATGTCACCTGGGACTCTGTCAGGGCAGAGTATCAATAATGTTATCTTCTTGCTGAAAATGCTTTGTTTGTAAAGGACAGGTCAGCTGTCTGGCTCAAAGGTCTACATTCTGAAGTCGACTGAAAGTGTCCTCATGATTAAATTCAGCTTAAACATTTTGCCAGGAGCACTGCAGAGCCAATGCTATGAGCTTCCTACCTCAGTCCATCTGCGGGCAGAAAAGGCCCAGTATGTCCATCCCTATTATTGTGATACTAGCTAGAATGGTCACTTGGTTCAGGAGGAGTCTAGGAGCTCTGTCTCTTGTAAAGACAGCTTATTTGTAATTAATTTTAAAAGTGGTTTGGAAAATTCTAAACATCTGTATTCTAACCATCTTTCTCTGACCATTTTATCATCAATTAATCATTCCTGTCTGTGTTAGTTATTATATTTATATATTTGTACATTGGGAATATTCTCTCTCGAAATTTTACAATGTACTTGTTTTTACTGGTATTCTTCACAAAAAAGAATATTCCCTGCCCAAATTTTAACTTTCATCTAAAATTAATTTTAATTTGTTTTGCTGGCATTCTGTTGTGGAAAAGAATATTCTCTGCCCCAGTTTTAACTTTCACCCAAAATTAATTTTAGTCTATTAGTTATAATGTTTAAACTTTAAATTTGTTTAATTAAAAAATTTTTTGCCCATCACTCTGGACTTGTGGATTTTTTACAAATAATGTTTTAAGTTTATATTATTATGATTGGTTTGGCAGATAAACCTAATAGATTAATAAAAAACATTCTTATTTTTCTGTTTATATTCTAAACTCTTCCATATTTTAGTCTATCTTTACCATATGAGGTAGACTGTGTTTCCTGTATTTCTTTGTTGATGTTACTTGTTGTGTGTGTGTGTGTGTGTGTGTGCATGCGCACACGCACATACACACCTTTTTTTGTTATTTAAGAAGAATTGTATAGCTCTTGTTTAACATTGCACTAAAGTTTTGACATCACTAATCCCATTTTAACTCAAGATACTTCTGCTGTTTGGTTTATACATTTTAGATTATATCTTTCAACTTCAGATTTTTTACCACTATAACCATCAATGCATTATTTTTCCTCTTCTCTATCCTCTTTGCCTGCCATTTCTTATTTGTCATTTCAGTCCAAACAAAGTGACAGCCTATGTGTCCTACCTATTCCCACCTTGGTTTTTGGTATAGATCAACAATTAAATATGTTGACGCCCATGTGCTATTCAAACATGTGTCCTAAGTATCCCTTGTTGAGTGGAATTTATTCGTAACAGAGTCCTCCTGAGGCAGTCAGGTCTTGCTGACTTTTGCTTAGGGAACTTTTCCCAGTCTTCATGCATGGGTCACATCACTGGATATACAGTACTTCCTAAAAAGGATTTTTCTTATGATTTTAGGATGTACTGTTTGGCATTGGGAGACAGCACATTTGCGCTCTCTGGGATTCTATTTTGTTCTACCAGGACCTTTAATTTCTGCCAGTTCCTTCATTCATTCTTGTCACTACAAGTTTTCAGAGGATGCTTCCTTTGTCCAAGCCTCCCAGTCTCCCAGCAATGCTGCCCTTGGAAGATTGGTCCCTCTGGTCCTCTGTACCGTGAAGCCCCTGCCCATCCATTCCCCAGTAGCAGGTTTCTGATCCACCAGGTCTCAGACATGTTCTGTGTTTCTCCACACTGGCTGTCTGAGGATGGTTTTTCTGGGTGTTCTGTCATGAACAGGTCCTCCCTGCTGTGCTAGTTTCTATTTGCATAGTGTCTCCTGCTCCCTCTGCTGTTGTGTGGCTCCCAGATCCAGCTAAATAAAATCACCTGAGGGCCACAGCGTTCCCTAGCCCTGGTTGGGGGCAGGATTATGGGTGGCATTTTTGACTCTGTGTTAATCCCTAGGGCTTTGAAGTGTATATGGATAAATTCAGCTATTATCTATCCTACTTCTTCAAATGCAGAACTTCAGTAGTATAAAAAAGGAGACAGTATCGTATAGTAGAACATCCCCATATTCATTGGCCAGCTCCAGCAATAGTCATTGAATAGCTGAACTTTTAAAAATACAATCCTTCCTACTTATGAAATGTGTGTACTTATATATACACAGCATGTATCTGTGTGTGTGTATATGTATGTTTGGACATATGATTATGGAGGCTGCAATTCCCAAGATGGAAAGCTGGATACTCAGGAAAACATTTTCTTCTCATTAAACCTTTCCCTTCTCCTCGGGCCTTTGGTTGATTGGATGAGGCCCACCCACCACAGAGAGGGCACCTGCTTCACTTAGTTTGTCTATTTTAGTGTTAATGTCATCCAGAAACACCCTCCAGCACACACCCAGAAAAATGCTGGGACAAATGTCCTGGCACACGGGGGCTCGGTGAAAGTTATACACACAATTACCCATTATACAGGAACTTTGACCTATGTGGGGTTTTCATACTTTTCTCCCAATTTGTAGCTTTTTATTCTATTAACAGTGTCTTGTGCTGACCAAGAATTTTTAATTTATAAAAAGTTGATTTTATGAATCTTTTCTTTAATACTTTGTGTTGATGTGATAACTAAGTCTATTTTGTGTCTAACTCTACATCAGGAAAATTTCTCTTATATTCGCTACTGTAAGTTTTCTGGATTTGCAGTTTACGTTTAGTTCTAGAATCAATTTTGAGTTACTCTTGGTGCAAGTATGGATGTTTAAGTGGATTTGTTTATTGCTTTTTACTTCAACTTTGACTTTAAGTTCAGGAGCACATGTGCAGGATGTGCAGATTTGCCACGCAGGGAAATGTGTGCCATGGTGGTTTGCTGCACAGGTAATCCAGATCATCGCATTGCCCAGGTAGTAAGCCCAGCATCCATTAGCTTCTCTTCCTGATGCTCTCTCTTCCCCAACTCCCCACCCCCAAACAGGGCCAAGTGTGTGTTGTCCCCACCCCCACCCTATCTGTCCATGTGTTCTCATCATTCAGCTCCCACTTATAAGTGAGAATATGCAGTGTTTGGTTTTCTGTTACTGTGTTAGTTTGCTGAGGATAATGGCTTTTGACTCCATCCATGTCCCTGCAAATGACATCTCATTTCTTTATATGGCTGCATAGCATTCTATGGTGTAAATATACCCCATTTTCTTTATCTAGTCTATTATCATGTTTCCTTGGTGTCTCCATCAAAGATCAATTGATCATAGATGGGTGGGTTTATTTCTCAGCTGGGTCAGCTTCCCAAGACTTACTCATTTCCTCATATAGGTGTCTTTCCAGGCCTCAGAATCTTTGATGGTTTACCAGATGTTGTGTATGTTATCTTGTTGAGTGCTGGATATTTTTGTGTTCCTATGTATTTTTAGCTTTCTTCAGGGATGCAGTTAAATCACTTGGAAACAGTTTTCCATCTTGTTTTTATGGTTTGTGAGGTGGTCCAGAGCAGGGCTCATGGCCTGCTACTGAGCAAAAAATTTTTTCAAACTCCTATCCTTTGTCCTGTGGATTATGAGTTAATTTTAGTTTTAATTATTATTCAGGCACTGTTCCAAGCCTTGTGTGTGAGCCAGGCACCAGACTCTCTAATCTTTTCAAATGATTTTCCTTTGACTTTGGAATATTTTCATCAAATGTAGGCTCTGATCCATACTTTCTTAATCAGCACTGTGCTGATGCAGTAGGGACACCCTCTGGTTCACTGTAATTTACTTTCTGCAGCTCTCTCCTGGCTGAGTCCTATTTATAGGTTTTATGCTATTTTGGGTCTACACTCCCTGGACACTCTGCTCAGTGTCCTTAACTCAAAGGTGTGCACTGGGGTCCTTTTCACTTTCTCCTCCCTGTACTTAGCTTGGAAGCTCTCTCATGGCAGTCAGTGGAAGCAATTGAGGGGCTTGGCTGTCTGGTTCACATCTCTCAAGGATGACTATCCTTTTTTGCTTAATGTTCAGTATCTTGAAACCCATCTTTTTGTGTATTTTATGTTCATGGAGAGTCTTCTCTCTCTCTGCAAGGAGTGGAAAAACATACCTTTGTCTTTCATATACATTATTTATTTCAACAGCTTTTGGGAAATAAAAAATTGGTTTTTGATTACATGAACGAATTGTGTAGGGGTGAAGTCTGAGAGTTTAGTGCTCCATCACCCTAGTAGTGTAGAGTGTAGCCCATATGCAGTAAAAATCCACCTTTAAGTGTGAGGTGTGTTCCGCATGGATTGGGCTTAAGGGCAATGACACCAGCTTTCCAGGAATCAGTAAATGTAAAACCCAACCTTAGGAAGAAAGCTTAATATTATTCCTGTGAGAACTAGGCTCTGGATCTTCAGAATTCATTTCATTCTTGAAAAGAAGTATATATCAGATGTGGTAAAATCTGTTTTTAGTAACATGAATGTTTGGGGTTCAAGCAGGATTTTACCACATCTGATTTGACATAGAAGGATTGACAATAAGGTTAGGAGAGAGGCTAGCTAAGAGAAAATGTATTATAAGCTTATCTTAAATGAACTGAGATCATGTAAAACTCAGAGTGTCTAACTGGGCTTGAGCCACCAACCTTTTAGTTAGCAGACAGAAGAACTCAAGGTCACGCAGCAGAAACACACATTCTCTCTAGCCTTCATGTCGCAGCACCCTGGGCTCCTCTGCCTAGTGCAACTGCACCAGCTCCAGAAAACATTCAGCCCATCTGCAGCTACCATCAGGCATCTGCAAAACAATCAGAGAATCTATCAGCAACAAAGTTGCAAGACTCTCCTTTGCCCAGATGCAAAAGAAAAGACTCAAAATAAAAGTGATACCTTTATTTCACCCAGCTGAAATGAGTTGTTGTTCGCTCTTGTTACCCAGGCCAGAGTGCAATGGCACGATCTCGGCTCACTGCAACCTCCACCTCCTGGGTTCAAGCAATTCTGCTGCCTCAGCCTCCCGAGTAGCTGGGACTACAGGCTCACGCCACCATGTCCAACAAATTATTGCATTTTTAGTAGAGACGGGGTTTCACCATGTTGACCAGGATGGTCTCGATCTCTAGACCTCATGATCCACCTGCCTCGGCCTCCCAAAGTGCTGGGATTATAGGCGTGAGGATACAAGTGATGTTTTACAACTCATTTATCCAGATCTCATAGCAAAGCCTGGTCTTCCTGGTGTTTGCCCTGTATCACCAAAGGCCAAAATCATCAAGGACATGGCAGGCTCTGTCCTTCACCCAGAGGGCACAAAGCTCTTCCCTTCCATCCTCTTCTCACGAAACTGCTGGACACTGCTCCCAACCAACTCCTTCCTCCTGACAAGCTAGAATTCTGCGACTCTTAAAACAGCTTTTTATTTTTTTTTCCTCATATCTGGGTTTCCCATTCATGCCTTTTTGAGTTGATCTTTCTTCTCTTTTATACTTTTGAAAGTTTTGTTTGATTTCTAAAATATATCCTTAATATGTTCCTGCAAATCTCACACTCTCTCTTTTCTATCCCTGATACTATGGTTTTCATTTTCATGAGGTCTGTTTTTAAGTTGATCTCTGGATGAAGGAAAATAAAGATGGACCAGGCCACCAATTCCACACGCTGCCTAAATAGGGAGGAAAAGGGATTTCGCTTCCTCAGTCCACAGGCCAGCCATCGGCCAGGTAGCCTAATCCGGAAAAAGGAGGAAGAAGGGGGCGATGCTTTGGT